TATATATATATATAATTTCTTTCTTTCCTAGAAACCGAAACCCGCCAGAGACTGCTGCGAAACGTGAAGAAGGAGGTAAGTGATAGTAAAAGCAAATAAAGCCAAGTGAACATAAGGCTGAAACGCCCTTTATAATGTGACTCATGTTTCAGACATGCCTACAAAATGTGTGGTGTAAGTTAACCAAACACTGGAGCTAACATCTTACCTGAAAGAAAGCTGCCAAAGCAAAATAAACCTTTTTATTCTGTTTAATTATTTTTTATAGTTACTGTATTGTGGTAAAATTATTGATCTCAGTCTACAGTAGCCCATATCATGAATTATTTATTCGTTTTTACATATCAATTTTTTTTCCTGAATATGCTACAGCAGTTTATCGTTTTTCCCCATCAAGCACCCGTCAGACTTAATATAATAGTCAGTACGACGTTTTAGAGACTATTTTATTCAAATGTGATGTTGTTACAGTCATAGATTTGCGGGTTTCTGTTAAATTATTATGTTTTATGCATCTTATTTTAAAATACATTGCTCTATGGATCCAAATGCATTTAATATACAGACAAACGTTCAGACGTAGGCTACTACTTATTAAATATATTATCCACATCTACATTTAACGATCCATAAGCACTCTATAAGCACTTTCCATGTGTTACAACTGCAGTGATTTCTAGTCTTTAAAATATGTGTGCTTGTTCATAGATTTTCTTCTTTTGGACATGTAAAATACAGTTTATAAGGTTCACTGCCAGAGTTGCCAAGTCCGCTTATTTTACGCGACTTTGGGCACCTTTTTTAAAATTTTTTTTTTGTTAAGTCGCGTTTAAAAATCAGGGGTTTAGAGCTTTTTTTTTTTTTTTTATATGGCTTCTTGTTAGGAAAACCAGACAAGCAACTTCGTTTCTTTATGTTTATGATGTTTTTCCCCAATATATTGTTGACACTGTCTGCTTGCAACTAATAGCCAAGCCCCCTCCTCCCATTTATTGGAGTAAAATCTCGTTTAACTGCAGACATGTGACGGTGTAATCCAAGGATGATGGTTAATACATGTAAATAGAAGAACAAGGCCACCAACAGAGATGGAGAGGAAACATGGGAGAAGGTGAAGAGTGCGGGGGAGGAAAGGGACCTAATTCAATTTGTAAAATATTTTTATAATGCATTATCATTAAATCAATAAATAAACAAGCAGTAATACTAATAGTAGATACATATGGTTCGAGTTTATTTTATTATAAATATGTGGCTATAATAAAGCTCCCCCGTAGTGCTCTTGTCTTATTCTCCTTTTCCATCTCCAAAACTATTCTGCTCGCAAGTGATCGGAGGATAGTGTGTGCCCTCCCGCTTTGTTTGATGATTTTTGTAAAATAACTTCTGTTTTTGCTCTTCAAACTCAGAGTGGTTGGTTTCAGTTTACTATGTTGCATGCTCATTTATTGATAATAAATAATGTTGATGATAATAAATAATATAATAAAATTGGGCTTGTTTTTGAAGCTGCGGTTGCTTATTTATCTTGGGAGAGTTGGCAACACTGTTCAATGCATCTTTTGATTTATTTGTGGTATTGATTTAAGGCCAGTCCTATCTCTTTTTGCAGCACAAAATGCATTGTGTGGTCTTTGCCTTTCAGTCATTTCATCTGATTAATAGGATTCAATAATCCTTTTGGGTTAAGCAAGGCTGCTCTGTCTGTGTATTTGCATGAGTGTATGTTTAAGGATTTGCACAATGGATGAGGTTTGTATGAATTTGGGTGTGAATTTGTAGGTGATTTCCTCACAGCAGGCTTGTAGTATCTGTACTTGCCCAGTACTGATTTGAGGATTTATGGTTTACTATTATGAGTTTTGATTGCAGACACTAATATTCTTATCTGTCCTGTGTGGCGATGATTCATCCAGACATGAGTGTATACAGTAGATTTTCTAGTGGTACTGTAGTAAATTATTGTTTTTAAATGTAAAACTCATAGCTTTTTGCCAAATGATCAATGCACCATCATTTATGGACCCCGTCTTGTTGTAGTCATGTGGTGCAATGTATAAATAATGAGAAATGATGCAACAATTAAAAAAAGTTACAAGAACAAAATCTCATCTCAACACTTCAAATGAATGGCTACGCTATTTTTCATTTTGTCATTTCATGTGAATATCAACATTTGTGAGATTAGTCAGTTGAAACAGTTTTGAGGTTAATTGATCTCGTTTTGTGTTTCTGGAAAATAGTGATCTATGACATTGTATTATGTTGAAAATCAACAGTTTTGTGTCTATTTGTGAACACAACCACATTTTTAGATTTGTAGAGCAAAAATTATAGTTTTTATTTTGAAGTAAAAAAGATAAAATTAGACCCTTGGGAGTAAGACTTGGCACAGAAGGCTCCAAGTGCATGTTGTTACTGCATGTTGTTTTAAATTGACTGCTTATTGTAATTAATGGGGTTATTATTCACTATTTACATGAATTAGGAGATCAATTACGAACATCTTTTTGCTTTTCATTAAAACTAGTGGACCGTTGCGGATCACAAAACTCACGGTTTGGATCATATTATGGATTTTGAGTCACGGACCGTATAATTTTTCGGATCAGCAAAGAAAAAAAATTACTGAAAGCTTACTTTAAGTACTTCTATAACACAGCAAAAACTACTAGCTTAACTTATAAAGTAATAAAACAAGAACAATTACACAAATTACTAGATGAATACAGCATAACACAGTTACAAATAAAGTCAGTAACAGTAGTATTCAGGTGCAGAAATTTAATAATTAAGTGTAAAATAACGGCTGAGTGCACAGAAAGCAGTGCGCAAGTTAAAATTGCTTGAATGTGTAAATTGGCAAGACAAAACACGTGCAAATGATAAACTTTCACTCTATGAAGGTTAAACGTAACAGTTAATCCGCGAATCACATGCGTGCCGATCCTTGGGACCTGGGGCCTCATGTATAAAACTTTACGTAGATTTCATCCTAAATAGGCTACTGTCTGTGCGCGACACCTGTGAACAGGTTTTAGAGTACTGTCATCAAACCTGTTCAAACCAGCCAACTGAATGTTTGATCAACAAGTGCATCCTTATGTCTGTCGTTACCGTATATGTTCCAAAGCATCAGACGAATCAAGTTCACATCAGTGATCATTATTCACGCAAAAGTATTTTCTCAGAACATGAGTTTTGCTATTTAGAACACAATTTAAAGTGGAATTGTCATGCGCCAAGCAATCCTCGCTGTGATTAAAACATTGAATTGAAAATTGTTCGAAAGCAGCACATCCACTGCAAATATTTCTGTTTAAATTCATATAAAAATGTTGTAATTTCTGGATAATAATTTCATGAAATTTCAGTGTTTAACTGCATTATTGAGAGTGTCATATTTAATCTAAATGTGTGTCAAATGTAAAACAGACTTTAAAATCATTCTGTTTGCTTCATTATTTCGCACACTCCAGTAAAAGAGTGCGTACGCATGGTCTAGAGTTTCCGTACGGTGCGCTCATATTTACGCCTAGTTTATATTTTATAAATCCCGAAATGTGCATGGAAAATTGCTTACGCACATTTCCATGCCTATTTTGTGCGTACGCAACGTTTATACATCAGGCCCCTGGTCCGTAGATCACGGATCCTCTACGATTCATTGCACCCCTAATTAAAACCTACAATAAACCTACAATAAAACCTATTGCTATAACAATTAAATTAGCAATAGTTTTCTATTTAATTTACCTTAATAGCACATTGGCTGATGTATTATCATTCTGCACATGATAAACTTATTAGTTACAAATTCAAAGTAAATGCACATTGTTCTTAAAGGGGTTCTATTATGCTTTTTCACTTTTTGAATTTTAGTCAGTGTGTAGTGTGTATGTTTGGGCATAAAAAAGATCTACAACGTTACAAATCTCAAAGTCCACTCCAAAAGGAGATATTTCGTTTTTAAAAAATCCCTTTTCAAGAACTACAACGAACGGCTCGTTTGGACTGCAGCGTTGTTTTCTGGGTTTTGTGATGTCACAAAGGACCCATTAGAATATCATTAAAATAAATCCCGCCTACGGAAATTTGAATAGCTGGGGGGTGGGGAGGGGCGAGGTCGTGGTTAGAATGCTTGGACAACGATGAAGAAGTGCTGCTGTAGCGTCAAGTTTTCGCAAATTATTACACATGCATCTGAATAATTATGTATGTAAATATATATGTTACAATTATGAAAACGTTTTTATAATAAATTGCTGACAGTACAAAACTGGACAATGATGTAATCTGCAGAATTTACACTTCAATTATGAGACTATGGTATAAATATTACCGTTGCAGTTATCTGTACATAGTAAATGCAGTTATTTTTAAGCGGTTGTTGACATCCTATCATGATTTAAAAAAAAACAACAACAATAATGTTACCACTCTAATATGTCTTACAATATCCGTGCATGCAAAGGTTCTGCGCGATCCTCTTGTTCAATATTCTTGGGGTCTGAATCTGGCTCAAATTGATATGGAAATATTGACGCCATCCTTAACTATACCGGAGCAGACGGAACTTGCTGCTCTGGCAAGGGGCGGGGCAGTACTGAAACACCGTCTAAGCTGTTCGCCAATCACAACGCACTGGGACAGCTAACCAATCACAACACATTTCGTTTTTCGGAAGGCGGGCCTTCATTAAAACCAGAACTAATCGAGCCGTTTGTGCCAGGTTGGGGAGAAAGGTACTGTAATAATGTAAATTATGTGAAAAATAATGCTTTTTTCGAACCACCAAGCATGAGAGTGTCACAGTCTTCAGCGGGTGTGCCCAGGATGGCCACCAGATGACACTGTTTTCTGTGAGCACATGGCTTGTGTTGTGTTTGTGTGGTGCCATGTGCTCTCCCCTGTCTATTGTCTTGCCCCGCCCATCTTGTTACCTCATTATTGTTTAAGTTGCTCCACCTGTGTCTCCCTCGCTAGCCTCCTCATTTGGTTTCCTATTTATTCTCCTGGTGTCTGCAATCCTGTGCTGATCCGTCGTTTTTCATTGTGTGTGTTATGTCTGCATG